TATCCCAAACACATTACATTTTGTTCTGGTTGACGCAAATAACTCAAACTCTGGCATATTCATAAGGGGTTTCGACGGAAATATCTTTATGTGTATCAAGCCAAAACGGAGACAAAAAGATATGAGCGATTTGAAAGCGAGAGATTTTATGGTCCAGCAGTGAAGATTCCCACTCAATCCTCAAATGGCCAACTATTTATTGCAATCGAAATAGTTCATAAATTATTGTTTACATTTATTGTGTGTTATATATAATATATATATATATATATATATATATATTATATTCGTTTATTGGCAAATGTTGTCGTTGTGTACCCAGCTAGGCCTTTACCGCACAGCCACGTGAAGTAATAACAACAAGACAAACTACACGCGTAAATTTACTGTCTTGGAAATAAATCGTCTTACGTGACGAGAAGTTAGTTTTATTCTGTCGTTAATGTCAACTTGCCATTTTGATATGTTGAGAAAATACTTGTTAAAACTAACAATGATAATTGCAGGTATGAAAAGTTTTTTTTTTATTTGTAAGTAAAATAAAATTACGATTTGCTTGAACAAGTTGCTTAAGTAGGAAACATTTTTAGTATATTATTAATATCCGGACTCTTTCGTTTTGAAACGCTAGCATTGCTAAAACCAAATAAACTAAACTGTCGAAACCTAAATATTCCAAATGTAGGCCTACTAGTTCTAGTTGAAAAACTGAAATTTGAATACTGAAGACAAAATATTACCCCAATTTTTAAACCTTACTACTCTCGTGTTGACCGTGAGCCGGCATCGGCTGTTTTGCAACCGTATCACATGAGTATAAGACATTTTTTATAAAATTTTATTATTATTAGTGTAATTGGAAGTTAAAATACTGGTAGGCTTAGTGACCTGCATAATAAATTAAACCTTGGCCATAGAGAATAAGCCCAAACATCCAACAGTATTTGTTTTTATTTTGATCTACAACTAAGAAGGTAAAAGGAACTGATTATAATACAATAATAAGACTAATCTTTCCGTTACAATTAAAACAGTCAAAGAATGAAAAGGTTAAATCCGGTATTAGGCGAACTAACCGCTAATTGAACATTTCGAATTTATATTTTTTTACATCGGAGAATTCCAAACTGATCATATAAAATAACTCAAAATGTTGTTACAAACAGCTAGGTCTTGCGGCACAGTAGCTTTACAGGGTTTATTGTATTTTCCAGGGATATTTTATCAGTTGTGTTTAATTGTATTCTGGACAGGGAATACATTTTGATGTGGTAGGATGTCTTATAAAACGTGCATACTTGGTCAAACTACCCTGGGACTTAAATAAATAATATTTAGTAAAAAGTATTGAGTATGTTGTCCACGTTTTTCGTAGAAAAATATTTTACTTTGGATGTTTTATACCTTATTATCACATGGTATTACTTATCAACGTAAATTGGTGAACTAAATTATTCGAAATATTTATGTCAGTTTTGAAAAGTTGTATTTATAACAATACAAGAAATTTTTACTAAAATGAATGTATTGATTTCTGTACTCATCTGAGTTCAGTTAAAAGTATTTTATTATTTTACATGTATAAATATCTCTTCCAGCATTTTTGTTAAGTTTTTTGCAGCTAATATAGCATATTTTTAGGATAAAGATGAGGAATTCATAATAGCCTGAGTTTAATTTGTTTAAGCTCAAAACATAGTATGCAATACAATTCTCTAGATGAAAATGTGTACTTTGTAGATATATTATAGTGATTAATGATCCGTGATGAATGTGTTTCAACGATTGTATTGTATTGTTACCTTTAGAATTACTTAAACGGTCACCTTTTGTTCTTCAAATCTATTGTTCGTAATTGGACAAAACTTTGTTATTACATTCATTTGTCGAGGGAATTCATACTTCATTTATTCATTGCTATTTGACCTCTTTATGTAATAGTGACATATATCTTTAGAACTTTAATACGTCATTTTGAATTATTATAAAATTTATAATACTAAAGCCAGTCACCAAACCTTTAATATTAAGGTGCACAAACTGTTACAGGTTTACTTATTCAATATTTTATCAAAACAAATGCTATCATATAATATGTTGTGACAGTCCACACTTCTTTGCTGCTCTAACTATTAGCCTACATTCAATTGTTTTACTTTAAAAATTATCCTAAAAGATTTTTTGCATACCAAAATATCCGTTCAATTTAAAATAGATATACAGGTCGGACAAAAGGTCCCGGGTTGGTTGAATATTTTTCAAAATATTTAAAATGACAGATTTTTTATCGGCTACCATTTTTGACTTGTTTATCCGTTTAAGTTAAAATTAAAGGCTTTGTATTCTACTAGCAAATGTCTTTAATCTGATATGCATATCAACCTATGCTTACATTTAAGATTTTTTCTGACTCCTAGTGGGCTATCCCCCTGAGGAAGTAGTAGATCACTGAATATATGATCAAATAGATTTTTATGTCCAGTAAATTAGTGCAAAGTATTGTAGCTCTATTTTAAATAATTCAAGAAATATTCAAACGATCAGGGACTTATGGACACCTTGTATTTCATAACAAACAGTAGAAGGGGATTCATTGCATATTTGAGAAAATTTCTTTTGATGTGTGAGATTTATCAAGCACTCTAAATATGTTAAGACCCACTTTCACTGGTGTTTTAAATGTTATATTTCGCTACACTACAAAGACAATATTTTCTTTATCAAAATATACATTAGTAATTTACTTTTTAAAGTTAGGAACAGTACAAAACTCAAAGTTTTTTTTGGTATGCCTTCTATTTAAAGTTAATTTACATCAATTTACAGTTTTAGTTGTTACAAATTGAAACAGTTGCACAAAATAACAAATTTTCGTTTGTTTATGCCAGCAAAATCCAAAAATTTGGCAAACATTACTTTCTCATAGTAAACATTCTATTTTCCGTAGTAAACAATGTAATTATGAATTTTTTCCGGTGATAAACGTCCAACGAAAACAGGTCATTTCACAGTTTGTAGCGATTAAGACTTTCTATACGTGGTACTTGCTGGCTGATTGAAAACGGTCGGTTAAACAATTACTCTATTTTCTACTACATCAAAATTCAATACTAATAATCAAATAACCTTGATCACATATTTAAGACTTTATTGTTATAGTATTGATTCACGAAACTCATATTCATACTTTTCATTCTTAACACGTATTCACAGACGTTATCATAGAAACCACACAATTTAACGGATCCAACAAGATATTCCTACTGGTAAACCATAGTATGAATACCTATACTGTATTGTGAATGAATAGTACAATGCTTCTAATAGGGTTTCTGTGAAAACTGTATTTTAATGTAAAAGGTTATTAAAAAACTGCCTATCAGGGTATAATTTATGAACTCTACACTAAATGTAAAAATGTACCCCTGGTAAAGCAAGTAGATGGATTTATCTTTACCCTAATGAAACGCTCAAAGACAAGCTTAGCCCTTGGGAAATATGGTTTACGCGGGCCTTTGAAAAATCTTACGCATTGGGTTTGGAGGAAAACTCATCATCAAACATATAAATAACCAGGCAAGATTTCCAATTAATAACTTCTTGATCAGCAATGATTCTCAATTTTATCTTCAAATGATCAATTTGCTCTTAAATTGATTTTCAATTGTATCTTCATGTTATAAAAATAAAATTTGTAAAACTGTATGTCCTGTGCAATTATCAAGATTAGCTACGGAAAAATATATTGCTTCTAAGGATAGTGGCAATATAATTATTTTCTGTAGTATGATTTTGTATACAATGTCAAAAAAATACCACATTCAATGAATGTATTCAAACAAATAAATACCATGTGAAATCATAACTAACACCAAACCTAGATTTATATTAAAAAACATGGCTCTTCTGTGTACAACCAAACGTAGTTGAACACATGTACTTCGGTAATTATTTATTTATGTTAATTTCTTGAAGGTTTTGCCATTGTCGAAAACTTTGTATAGTACCTAGATATGAGATCATTGTACCTGAAGCAGTTAATTACATTAGCTTCATTTCCCAAACAATTCTAGTCACTATATATTTTTTTAGTTAGTGAAGCTAACAGTTGTTTCATATAAATGTTGGTGTAAGTTTGTCAATCTTTTATATTTGAACTGGTTTCAGTTGTAATGCACTGGTACTTCAGTCTAATATTATCTAACATTTTTTTCTCTGAGAAAACACGATCAGGGGATTAAGATCTTAATGAACGTCAAGCAGCTCTTATACGTAATCCCAGTAGTCTTGATAATGTTTGCAGCTGAGATTTAGACAGTTATATATATGAATTAATCATCATAGTCTTAATTCAATGTTTAACGGGAATTACCAAGAGTCACAACTGTCTAATACAGCAATTACGTTTTAATTTTTAAATACTCTATTTTAAGGTATACTGCAAGGGCGTTAAGGGGAATACTTAGGTATGACTGTGAGTGTAATATGTAGTGTATGTGTGAGGGTGTAATAAAGGTATGACTGATTTAACAGTTGATCAAAATCAGTAAGAAAGCTAAAGAGATCATCAAACAACATTCTACACTCATACTTTACATTATAAAAGGTATAATGTTACCTGGATCTGCCAGAGTAATCCAAATGCTGTCTGTCGACTACGCGTTTCGAAGCAGTAGTAGCTTCATCATCAGGTCCTCAAGAACACTTTCACTCATCAGAGGTCGTCAAATAAATAGAATTTTTACAAGCATACATGGACGGAAAATGTTTGTATGTTTGTAAAAATTATATTTACTTGACGACCTCTGATGAGTAATAGTGTTCTTGAGAACCTGATGATGAAGCTACTACTGCTTCGAAACGCGTAGTCGACAGACAGCATTTGGATTACTTTGGCAGATCTAGATAACATTATACCTTTTATAATCTAAAAACAGTAATCCTGAGACAAGAAACAACATGAAGTGATCCTTTACGCATATTCTGTTTAAAATACTCACCTAGGTGGTGTCCCCATCTCATAATGGTAATGATATTCATCGATGAGTGAGGAGATGAGTCAGTAGAGACACAAACTTCAAAACCAGGGTGGTGTAGAGTAAAGGTCCTGTCACCGCCAAATTAAAATTTTTACTAGTTCAGCTTATTCTGGTTCTGTGCCCTTGGTGTTCTGTTATATTTCGTATGCGGTCTGGGAAATACAGAGTTTTAAAGGACCACCAACAACCTAAACAATCATTGTAAAGGTTCACAAGTTTGATTATTTGGATTTTGTCAAGGCAAATGAGGTTTGAGGCTACCTTTGCTTGGTATATTTGAAATTGTTATCTGCTAGTTTTGTACTATATTAGCGGCATTGTTTAAAAATACATATTATTCCCTACGTTAATAGCTCAACGGTAAATATGGAAGACGTTTTCCTGGAGTCCTGAGATTTAATTTTATTTACGTCACCTCAAACAAGTTTTTTATCCTCTGAACATTGTATTGTACTATCTCGTCAAACGGCATGGACGTTATTTAAACCTTAATTAAGAACCTATTAAATGAAAATTCTTCTTTAATGAGGCGCTTTAATGAGGGCTTTTAGGACCTCATGGTCCTTTAATACAGTCTCTAATTAGTAAGTGTAAACTTACTAATTAGAGACTGTAGTACTGTAGATTAGTAAGTTTACATACTTTGAAACTGTACAATTTTTATTATTGCATTATTGTTGTTGTGGATCCCAAAAGAGTTCTTGTAACTAAAAATACCGATTCTTTTCTCAATAAAACTGTTTCAATATAGTTGGTTATTACATATTTCAATAATGTTTACAATACATTCTTTCAAGCGTAAGATAAAATCTCATATCAAGTTGTAATTTTTAGGATTAAAAAATATCTTATAACATTGATATAATATCGTTTTACTTCAGGAATTTTCTTCTTCCAATAAACGCTCGTCAAATCACCAGTTTCATAAGAAATTTGCTTGCAATAACGTTTCATATTGTCAGCTGTGGATTATGCAAACCAGGATAAGCTCTGGTTTAGGCGGCGTCTGCTACTGTATAGTAAATTGGACGTAACCATCTTTTTGTATGTAAAAATGCAATCTGTTTGTGTCCCTTTTGTAAGATTTATGATATCGTTTAAGAAAAATAGTTTCGATGTATGTAATACGGCGTGGCGTGACATAATTATCTCGTCAAAGACATTAAGTAATAATAGTTTGCTTTAGATAAGATTTTACAAAATTACCATTTAATTTCAAATTGAACCTAAACAAATATAGTGGAAGCCAAAAAATTGATTAAATTACAAAATTTCATAACCTATAAAAGCTCTGACTTTTTGTAACAGCTTTTTGTATTGAATTTGGATTTAGTACATATGCTTGTAGGACCTTAACTATGGAAGGTTATAGTAAGCAATGTTGTATACTTCCCCTTACAAGTATCATCTTTGACCAATCAGTAAGGGCAGAGTTCCCTTCCGCTTGCATCAAAGTGAAGGAAGCATCAAAATTGTTCTCTTTACCTGGGCTTACAGAGAAGGCAAGAATAGTCAAAGACCAATACTTATCTAAATAATAAGTACAGGTGTCGTTCGACTGCAAAAACCCCAATAAACCCCTTCCCGCTTAAATAAATAACCGTAGTTATGTATACAAACAGAATTATGTATTTAACATTGCTTATAGAGGTCTATACATGTTGTTAAACAAGGGATGTAATCGTATTAAAAGGTAGGTAGACATAAGATTCATTGGAAAATGCCTACAAGTAGCATAGTTGAAATAACACATAATGGAAGCAAAACTCCTCGAATGGTATAAATAAGTATCTATATCGTTTTTCTATAATAACAAGTTATAAATATGTCAATGTGATGCTCTTGGCTGAAGTTAGTACAGTTATTTAACGTTCATCCATAGTAATATTACTTGTTGACGCCTTTCTGAACTCTATGTGTACATAATGAATAAAGAAAATTTTGATTTGATTTGAATATTCATAAGCCGTAAAGAATGGTTTTATCACATTACATTCTCCAAGTATAGATTAACTATTCTTGGAGCTAAATTAAACGTAACATTCGCCAAACAACGCAGTAGGTGTTATTAGTAGATCTAATGGCAACATAAATTACCAAAAATAAACAGTCTGATTTGTAATTAACTTATGGAATGAAATGTGTTTTGATTAAATGTTTAATGTGCTTATCACAAAACTGGTTCAGTGATCCGAATGAAGTTAAACTGAAACATTTTAATATATATTAATTATACAATCGTACACTCTTACATGGTTATTGGTTAACCATGTGTAAAACAAGTTAATACTTTGGCAAGCAATTAAACGTAGCAAATTGAAATCATTTAATTGTTGAGAACCCCCGAAATAAATCCCATCTCTTCTTAAAACAGGAAAATAACCAGAGAAAAAAAATTGTTTTCATCGACCCTCGAACTTTTAATGCAAATTCTCTAGAACACTGGACGATACATCACCCAGAGCTGTGTTTATCATACAAGATGGATAGTCTAACCTTTAGGGCCAAGAGATACATGGCAAGTCTCATATTAAAATGTTTCTCCTATTTGATTTCATGCTAATATTTAATCAAACATTGTTTACCTATATAGTTGAGCTAATACCACTGGTTGGTTTGTGTAACAATTCAATAAAGGATTCCTACAGATTGACTTGATTGTAATCGTTTTAAATTGCAGCTTTTAGTTGTATGACATGATGTCTTTAAGATACATTTTATTTTTGACATGAATACAATGTAAGTGTGTATTATACACTATAGAAAGCCTGAAAGTCATTAATCATAAATAAACAAGCATATGTGTTTCTTTGAATTACCTTGCAACAGATTTGTATAATACAAAGGCTATACTCAAAAACATATAAACATTTCTCTCTTGGATGGTAATAGTATAATATTACGTTACTAGTCCTGAAAATAAGTGTTTACCGGACGAGTCTGGTCGTTCCCGTGCGAGACGAAGTCGAGTACGGGATTACCATACGAGTCCGGTAAACACATTTTGGACGAGTTACGTACGATAGTTTACGCCATACTACTTAATTCGTACAAATCCTTATATATTTCCACCAACTAAAGGACTAAACATCACCACTCATAACCTCTAAGAGAGGTTATGTTTTTGTTTATAACCAATCATTGCCACGCAAATACAGTATAATCAGCTGATTGGTGTCCGGTAAAACTCATTGCAGAACAGTATTACGCAATGAAACCCCATTTGAATAAGCTGGCGGCAAACAGCTGTTTTCTGGACTAAATCCTTGCGTGGGAAGTTCGTCAAAATAATGTAGTGTGGCGTAAAAATATTTAACTTCGGATTTGCTCTGTCACAAAATTAAAGTCTTGAGATAATTATAACTTTTTCCGAGTAAAGTAGATCTACCACATGTCAAATATTTACATAAAATGTTAAATGAGGCGTCGAGAGGCCAAGGGAGATATGTGACTTTTTAAAAATAGTTGTCATGGTAACGGGTTTTGTTAAAAAAGGGTGGAATTTCAACAAATAATTCACTTATATCCCTTGGCCTCCAAACTAAACACCTAAGAGTTGGAAGCCAAGGGGTATAAGTGAATGTATTTTTATTTTTATATTTTTTTTATGACCATGAAAAAAATATAATGACATTTTTTAAAAAGTCACATATCTCCCTTGGCCTCTCGACGCCTCAAATTTGATTCAAGTGTTATTACAAGTTTGCACTGACATAATGACAGGATTTTACCAAGTAAATTAAAATTGACTTTCAATAAGTATATTCTGAATGGATATGACAATGCAAAATATTTTTTTTTTGTTTTACGTTGAAAGAACCTTTAAAAGGTACAACCTTATGCAGGGACTGAAATTAACTGATCTTAAAACTCCTGTATACTCTTCAATTTCGTTCCATTATATTTAACTGTGTTACATAATAACTATCTCTAATTTTAGTGGTTTTGTTTGAAGCTGTTTAAGCTACCTTTAATAGCTATTTAAGCTTTTAGTAAACATTCATTTATCAACAACTTGCGTACAAAGCATAGACAATGTTGTTATATAACAGGCATCACAAAATATGAAAACAACTTTTTGCAAAAGTAGTTAGGGTTTTTAGAATACTTTGACCAATTTGACATTAGTAAAAAAATGAACATCACATTTTGTGAATTATCGAATTCCAAACCAATTTATTACACGTATAAAATACATATCGCCTGCCTTAAAATATGCTGACAATTCATAGGTTGACAGATACGCTAACACAGCAATATAATGTGTAATATGTGGTCAGCATGGTCAATTATATATTATTAAATGCCCACCTCAAACAATCGTATAGCTAACAGCACAGTTTTTAGTTATATCTTTGATTATTAATAGTCAATGGTTATGCTAAATTCTGGTACATATAGTTTTTGTGTTCGTTTCTTGGCTTGTGCATTTTACATGCTCTAAAGTCAAAACAAAATAGTCAAAATGATATACATTTTTAAATGATTTTATAAGTAGTAATTTTATAAGTGAAACGGTTAATGAGCTGTAGCTAATATTTGTAACGAAAACGATTATGGTTTTGTAAGCTTTCAAAGCATTGAATCCAGTGAAAAATCAGTTGTACAACATTATTTTCCAAGTGCTATCAACAGCACGTCATGATATCAGTATTCTTGATTTCACGATGCTTCGAAACTTGTTTTAAATCTCATTAAAAAAGTATGAAAACGGTAAAATACTTATAATATTATTACACAAAAAATACGCACTTTACGCAATGTCACGTTTGTTACACTGATGACAAAAATTGCAGTTGGGGAGTCAAAGTCGAAATTTTTTAATGTTTTTCAATTTTTACTTTTTATGTTCTTTTTATAGCACAGAATTTCTTCTTAAAAATGGTATACTTACTTATATATTTTCCATAACATTGCAGTGACGTTTTAAAGGTAAAACTAGTAGACCCAGAGTTGACCCTTGGAGGCTCTTCTTGCC